ATATATTTATATAAACAGTCATCCCAGGCTATTTACTTAAGGTTAATTTGACACTTTTTACTTAGCCATTTTATCGCCAGTCTCTGCTAAATATTGTAGTAAAACTGTGTTTTTATGTATTTTGACATACACACATATGACAAGGTTTTTTAATGTGTATTTTGGAAAGCTGGTGTGTGCTATTCCTGTACAAAACCCCATATTATGTTTAGCTATATCTGCTGAGTACAACGATACAGATATTGTATGCAGTTGGCACTATTCTGTGAAACTACAATGCCATATAAGAGACAAGGCTATTTAAGTTTCTATAGTTAGAATTTTCATAGATGGATTTAATGGGCCTATGTCTCATTTGGGATATTATAGCAGTTTGACTGTTCAAATAACCCATAAAGGACCTCCAATTGAGAAAGCAGACACTCCAAGGTATTTTATGTGGCATATATTGTGACTTAACTTTTCACCATTTTTTTTTACCAGTTTGTATCAATGTTTGGGGTGAGGGAAAAAAATAGCATTTTTCACATACATGTTGCATTTTTGATGGGTATTTCTTACATTTGATATGTGCCACTGTCATAAAATCCCTTAAATTATGCATACACACATATGACAAGGTTTTTTAATGTGTATTTTGGAAAGCTGGTGTGTGCTATTCCTGTACAAAACCCCATATTATGTTTAGCTATATCTGCTGAGTACAACGATACAGATATTGTATGCAGTTGGCACTATTCTGTGAAACTACAATGCCATATAAGAGACAAGGCTATTTAAGTTTCTATAGTTAGAATTTTCATAGATGGATTTAATGGGCCTATGTCTCATTTGGGATATTATAGCAGTTTGACTGTTCAAATAACCCATAAAGGACCTCCAATTGAGAAAGCAGACACTCCAAGGTATTTTATGTGGCATATATTGTGACTTAACTTTTCACCATTTTTTTTACCAGTTTGTATCAATGTTTGGGGTGAGGGAAAAAAATAGCATTTTTCACATACATGTTGCATTTTTGATGGGTATTTCTTACATTTGATATGTGCCACTGTCATAAAATCCCTTAAATTATGCTCAGTTACATCTTCTGAGTAAAATAATATGCCTGTTGAGGGGGCGGAGTATGATCGGGTAGGAAGATGGCCGCTTATTGCACGAGATCCCGCCATCGGGCGCCAAATAAAGCCACTAACTCAGCGAAAATCAGCACGCAGACCCCCCAAACACACAGGCACACACACCAGGATGCCAGCACCCACTTACCAACATGGGCGGCAGCCGCAAAAAGCAGGATCAAACTCCCTCGGTAGCCACAATGTTCCGGTCCCAGCGCGGTCCGGCACCATCTTCCCCACAACAGGCAGAAAACACAGCCTCAAACTCAGACCAGAGTGAGGCAGCAGACTCAGCAGCAGCCCCTCTAACTAAACGAGATCTGCAGCTCCTGCTAAAAGAAGCAGATACACATGGCAGCTGAGCTGTAGAAGCAGCTGCACAGCATAAAAGCAGAAATAGCAGACCTGGGGGAGAGAACAGACCAGGTGGAACAGAGAGCAGACAAACTCCTAAACACCTTAAAGGCACAGGAGGAAGACATTTCCACATTGAGACACAGAGTGGAAACTATGGAAACAGGTATGGAAGACTTGAACAATCGCTCAAGATGCAACAATATAAGGATAAAGGTCCTCCCTGAGACGGTAGCGCAGGACATGTTACCAGCCACGCTATGCGAAATTTTCATGTCCCTCCTATCAGAAGCTACGCCACAAGATCTGACCATAGACCGGGCACACAGGGCACTGAAGCCCCCCAGTCAAAACCAATCCGCACCCAGAGATGTCATAGTACGCCTACATTACTTCACCTTCAAGGAAGCCATCATGACAGCCACCAGTAGAGTTAGTGTTAGAGTGTGTGTGTTCGTGTGTTAGTGTTAGAGTGTGTGTGTTAGATTGTGTGTGTGTGTGTTAGAGTGTGTGTGTATGTTAGTGAGTCTGTTTGGTGTCTGTTAGTGAGTGTGTGTTTTGTAAGTGAGTGTGTATGTGTCTGTCTGTCAGTGAGTGTGTATGTATGTATGTCTGTCAGTGAGTGTGTGTCTGTCAGTAAATGTGTGTGTCTGTTAGCTAGTGTGTATGCGTCTGTTCGTGAGAGTGTGTGTGTGTGTCTGTTAGCTAGTGTGTATGCATCTGTTCATGAGAGTGTGTGTGTGTATCTTCACTTGACGCTGGGGATCTCTCCGCTCCAATCCGCCTTTCAGCTCTGAATGCGCATGCATTTCAAAGTGAGAATCGCAGAAGCTTCTCTAGTGGCTGTCAATGAGACAGCCTCTAGAGGCTGTATTAACCCTCAGTGAAACATGTTTTCAGCTGCAGGGTTAAAACTAGAGGGACCTGGCACCCAGACCACTTCATTGAGCTGATGTGATCTGGGTGTCTGTAGTGGTCCTTTAAGTGTATGTGTATCTGCATGCACTGGCGTACATACTGCGATCGCAGGGGTCGCAGCCCTGCGACCCCTGTGACCAGGTGCCCGTCGCCATGTGTTGCGGCCCCGGCCCGCCCAGAGTAAGCGGGTGGGGGCTCACGGATCAGTTTTCGCACCGGGGCCCCATGGGTTGTGTGTACGCCACTGACCCGAGTCACCATAAAATCATAAGAGGCGACTTTAACGCCACCATCTCCCCAACGATAGACAGACTGCGACAACCACAGCATTCAACTACACAAAACCAACCATCCAGATCTGACAAACTCATGGCAGACTTTATCTCCAACACCAAACTTATCGATATATGGAGAATACATCATCCAACTGCACAAAACTACACATTTTACTCCCATCCACATAAAACGTATTCCCGCATTGACTAATGTGATGGAATTTCGATGAAATGTAAATTTAGTAGGTCGAGATTTCCACGTGGCATATGTGTATGTTGTATCAGTTAATTAGTTACACGTAGCTAAGATACTGTCATCAATGTACTGAGCATGTGCAAGAATGCAGGAACTGAAATCACACTCCTTTCTCCTTTGTTTCGAATGAGCCATGTGGTCTGCCCATATGAGGAAATCCAAATCCTGTTCACTGATTGGTTAAGGGTATGTGCGGGTGGAGATATTAATGGGAGGAGTTATAGTTCTATAAAAAGCATGTACTCCATGTGTTCGCCCCTCAGACCTGTTTTGGAACGTTAGTTCATCTGAGGCCCGATCGGTATGTTAATAAAGACCTCTTACTTCCTGAAAACCTGCATCCATCTCTCTGTGTCTGGCTTCTGCACGTTTACTCGGTTACATATTTTGGTGCATTGGCCGGGAACCTTATCTCACGGAAGCTGGCGCAGAGATTTGAGATGGTAAACTTTTTACCAACGTTCTCTACAGCAGCACCCCTGAACTTCTGCGTGGACATCCCTTCATCTCGGCGCCACTGGGCTGCTTCACCCAGGAGATCATCGGCCTTTACGTAGTAAGTATCGGGGTGCCCCGTCGATGAGTGTGAGCCCAGGTTCAGGAACGAAGAGGTAAGACTGAGACCGTTAGAGTGGTAGGCCCACAAGGGGTTTTATATTTGGAACCGGTTATTGGATTGCCCCCTCCCTCTGGAGGGAAGAAGCTCACCGCTTATCTGGAAATTAGAGGCTCTGTAGTCAGCCCGTCTAATATAGGTGGTTTGGGTCAGGCTAAATCTTGGTGTAAATAGTTTATGCCGGACACCGATGTCCTGTCTTGACTAGCGTGTCTAGGTGTAAATTTCGGTCGCTAGGTCGGGGAGGCCGGCGAGACTAAGCAGATTTTGGTGTACATTCCGTCTGCTAGTTCTCAACCTATCTTGGCTAAGTGTGCCCGGTTGTAAATTCAGCCACTAGACTATTGATAGAGTAGATAGACTAAATGGGTACTTTTGTAAATTCCGCCCACTAGTTCGCTATATGTGGTGCTTGGGCAGCGTAGACTAACCGAATCCTGGTGTAAATAGTTCCATAGTTCTCGAGGTGCTGGCCAATTAGAATAGTTGGGATTATTGTAAATGTTGTTAAATATACTGTAGTTGGTGAATTGGTGAATTGTATGTCCTGCTAGAAAGCTTGAGCTCTGCCGTCTAGTGGGAGTTTAAATTGTGTGTATACTGTATTATTTTTTTTTAATTCTTTATTTTTCTTGTGCATAGTTTAACAACGAGCGTGTAGAGCCACGACAGCTTCTACAAGCATTTCCATAACATTACAAAGCGTGGCAGCTTAGTCGGCACATTTTTTTTTTTTATATTACATGAAAATATCATACGATTAGACATCATGTTTGTAGTATAACTTGCTAGGCTAGACATGCATAGAACAGAACTAGTTGCTCTTTAGGTTATGCGTGTGTATCTTGGTTGTAGTGTGGCATATAGGCATTAGGAGCACAGTGATTGAATTAACTAGATGTGCAGTAAGTAGAGGTAACAGTACTTTCTTTAATGCAGGCTGGTTGTTTAGTTGTATGCCAACCTAGCGCATTAAAGATATTAAAGAGAAAACTAAGTGTTAGTGATGTACTTTGCAGTAACAGTTTAGAGTCAACGAGTTAAGTAGTAAGAAGCAACGTCAGGGAGGTCGGAGACAAGTGCTTAGTAGTGGTAAGCGGTTTTGGTCCGCAGTGGGCAGACAGGCATAAGTAGGGGACACAGCATAAGTGTATGTGCTATATTATGGTATCTTAACCCTCAGTGCGTGTGTGTGTAGAGGCTGGGTAATGTTAGGTGAGGGGCGGTGAGTATGCACTGGAACCCCTTTTGGTAACATGAGTAAATTAAACACATAGCTGCTTCCCCTGAGGATCGCTTGGAAAAAATCATAGAGACAAAAAACAAACAAAAAAAAAACACACAACAACGATATATATCGGAATATAAGAGGCAAGATAGAGTCTCTTGAGTGCAGCTGGTATGCCGTTTCCCATATCTCCTCCATAGGTTAGGGTATGGCCATCCAGTTCCTCAGGCCCCGCTTAACCTATGCCGTCCCGGATGTGAGCATAGTCCCATGCCCAGGGGTGATGCTGCCGACTTCCCCAGCATGTAAGGGCTTGGTAGGGTGGGCGTCTCTGTCCCCACGGGTTGTCCCCTGATACTTCAATGAGAGTCTGTGTCCCGGTGTGGTCCCGCTGTTGCTGTCTGGCAGGCATGGGCTGGATCAGAGCGGTGCTTGGTTCGTGGCTCGTGGGGCGCCCCCTCAGGTGCCGTCTGCTCGGTCGCAATATCCCTTTCCCGTGTGGTCGATTACAGGGGGATCTCACTGCGGCAACTCGCACCTTCAGCCGGTGTCTGGGAGCTCCAGGGTGATGGGTGAGTGGGCTAGTGCGCCTCGGCATAGGTACTTTCGGGCACCAGGGGGTTTCCTTCTTGCTCCTGTTGCCGCCAGATGTATCTTTGGTCCCCTGCCTCGTGGTGATTTCCCGCCAGCTCCATTTTTCCGTGCAGCCTAATGGTAGGAGTTTCTGTGTGGTCTTCTGTTTGGTTAAGCTTGTGGGAGTGCACGGTAGGGTGTCAGGCCCTTTCTCCGGGGTTGTTGGGGACAGAAGAGCTTCCAGCTTTTCCCAGAAGGCTTGAAAGGCTTTGTCCAGCCGGTTCTCTGCCTCCGTCTGCTCGCCTCGAGTGCTGGTGGAGTACACTGTCTCCGCCATTTTGTGTGCGGTACTACTGCTTGGTTCAGGTCCCGTGATTGCCATAGCGCTTTCGCCAGGTTGTGCCCGGGTCTCCTGAGGCTGGACCGGGATGACCCCCACCGGTCCAGAGGGGGGGGAACGTGGGCCTTGTTTTGGTCTGTCCGCCGTGGAGGTCAGCAGGGGAGCGGCCGTCTCCCTCATGCCGATCATGCGAGTAGGCCATGCAGGAGGAGCGGGTGAGTTGCGCTGCGCAGGTCGCTTGTGTGGCACCATTCTGTGCCTCTCCGTGTCACCTTCCACCTGGTGGCCTTTTTAGCCGATTGGGTCGCTTTTTTATGGCTGAAAACCGATTAAATCGCGGTGTGAAGCAGGAGCTGCACAGATTAGTGTCTTCTCGCTTCAGCGGTTAGGCCCCGCCCCCGTGTATACTGTATTATAACCATTAACATGTACTATAACTATTGACGTTGTGTAAAAATTACTAAAAACTGTTGTCTTATGTTATATGTGTAACACCATAACTGTTACTAACTGATCTGTTACTTTAAATTGGTATTATAACCACTTGCTAACCGTACCATAACCACTGATTGTAAAGATGAGGTTACTAGAATGTGATATAGTCGGTTAGTTAAAAGTTGATTTATAATGTGGATAATTGTAGGGTTTGATTCATAGTTACAGAGATAAGTATCTAGTGTTTGGTAAATCTTTGTGAGTGAGATGTCGTGATATCACTGTATGTACGAGAATTCTCTGTGTGTTTTCGTGTGTGTGTGTTTGGCCTAGCAACTGTGCCACGTGGTGCTGTTGCCTGGGAAACAAGTGTGATAGTTGGAAGTGTGTTTGGGTTATTGTGTTTCTTTGTATTAGACACTTCGTTGCCAGTATGGGTGCGTCTGACTCAAAGATTGTTGATCCCTTGTCGTGTATGTTGAAAAACTTTGCAAAGGGATATAAAGTTTGTGATTTTGGGGTGAAATTATCCCCAAAGCGTTTGACTACATTATGTAGTAGAGAATCTTGGTGACCGCATGGCCTCCACGTGGTAGTCTTGATCTAACTCTAGTGCAACGTGTGCACGCGGTTGTATCTAGTAGGCCTGAATTCTGTGATCAGTTTCCGTATATTGATTGTTGGAAACAGATTGTGGAAAAATTGCCTAAATGGATTAAGGTATACCACGAGGAGCAATGTCGCCTCATGGTGGCCAGGACTCGCCTGTCCATCAGGGTCGCAACCCGTCCATTTTAGACTCTCCTTCTGAGTCTGAACTTCCCTCCCCACCCCCTTACTCCTCCTCTAAGGATAGATGAGGTGCTGCTGGTGTTGGCACTCCCCCTTTCCCATTGTCCCTGCCCACTCATTCATCTAGTTTAGAGCCCACTTGCCCTGAGTCCTCCCCTTCCGGTACCTACCTCCACTAGTTCTATATATCCAGAATTAACGTCACTTCTGGTTCCTGGTCAGGCTCCTTCCAGCCCGGCCTGCAAATTCCTGTTGACTGAACTTCCGCCCGGTAAAATTAACCTGCCTCATTCTCCTTACCTTACTACCCCTAGACCGGAACTTACTATAAAACAGCCTCGCCGAAGTCCTATATTAACCCGACAGATGACTGGTACCCTTCAACCCCGACATTACCAAATGCCCCTCCGACTTACACCGGCCCAACACACGTTGATGAAAATGGCCAAATACAACGGGCAGATCCAGTGTTTGTCTATGTCCCCTTCACCACAACTGATCTATTTAATTGGAAGACTCATAAGTCTTCGTATACCGATAAACCTCAAGTCATGACAAATTTGGTTACCTCTATTGTACAAACACACAATCCCACCTGGGCCAATTGCCAGCAATTATTATTAACTTTATTTAATTGTGAGGAAAGGACCCAGATTAATCAAGCGGCTATTAAAGCGCTTGAGGAAACGGCCCGTACTTAACATCAGGCCAATCCAGCTGCATGGGCTGCAGCTCATTATCCAAATGTTGACCCAAATTGGAATGTGAATGGTGCTGACATGCCCCAATTAAGGCCTTATCGGGAAGCCATTATTGCTGGCATGAAGGCAGGAGGGAAGAAGGCAATCAATATGTCAAAGACGGCTGAGGTGTTGCAAAAGGTTGATGAGTCACCTAGTGCCTTTTATGAAAGATTATTGGAGTCATATAGATTGTATACTCCTCTTAATCCAGAGGCCCCTGAGAATTCTCGAATGATTAACTCAGCATTTATCAGCCAGGCCCAAGGTGATATTAAAAGAAAATTGCAAAAGTTAGAGGGATTTGTAGGGATGTCCATATCACAGCTAATGGAGATCGCAAATAAAGTGTATATGAATAGGGAAACTGAGATAAAGCGGGAGGAAAAAGGTGAAATGAGGAAGAAGGCAGATATGCTAATGGTAGCTATGACAAGTATAGAAAGACAGGGAAGGGAAGTGAATAAAGGAGTCGAGAATAGGCTGAGTAAGGGACCTTTAAGTAGGACTCAATGTGCGTTTTGTAGAGAGGAAGGACATTGGAAGAATGAGTGTCCACAGAGAGAGCATTATAAAAATAATAGACAAGGAGAGAGAAGAGTACGGGTAGGTTATAGTGGTAGTTATAGAGGAAGAGGAAGTTTTGGAGGGAACGGTAGGAATAGTAGAGGGAGTGTTCAAGGAGATAGATATTATCCACCTACTCAGAGACCAAGAGATAGAGAGGATAGAGATTTTGTGGGTCCCCACCCGACAAGCCAGTGAAAACACCAGTAGGATGCTAGACCTGATCTGGGTGGCAAACCGACGCAACATTCCGACCCGTCTCCTATCCCTAGACACTGAGAAGGCCTTTGATAGACTTCTCTGGCCATTCCTTTTTGCCACCTTGGAAAAACTCGGCTTCCCCAAGCCCTTCCAAGATGCAATCAAAACAGTAAATTTTCCAACCCCACAGCCAACCTCCTCATACCGAACACAAACCCACCTACCTTCTCCATAAAAAATGGAACAAGGCAGGGCTGCCCACTGTCCCCCGTCCTCTTTGCCCTCTCCCTCGAACCCTTAATGCACCTCATTCGCACTACACACACGATCACAGGTATCACAGTACGCACACAAACATACAAAGGAGCGGCGTACGCCGACGACCTGCTATTGTCACTCACGAACCCATCACACTCCCTCCCACCTCTCCTCAAACTCATAGAGGAATATTCCGAAGTATCGGGATACCGGCTAAATCTAAATAAAACCGAGGCACTCATGCTCAATATAGAACCAAACCTCAGACAAGAGATACAAAACACATATCCAATCAGATACATCACCACACACATCTCATACTTAGGAATCGCTCTACCAGCGGAACTACACTGCACATACGCACTGAACTTCACTCCGCTGTTACAAAAACCAACAAACGACCTGCTTCGCTGGGGGACTTGTCTTTGTCATGGCTGGGACGCCTAGCCTCGATAAAGATGAATCTGCTACCGAGCTTCCTTTACCGTTTCCAGACCCTCCCCGTCCCAATACCCAACTTGGATTTCAAATACATACAAACACACATAGACAAATTCATCTGGGAGAATAAACGACCCATAATAAAACGATCAACGATGTACATCCCCAATAGAACCGGAGGTCTGGGTTTACCCCATCTCCAACACTACTACCATGCTGCCCAACTCATCCACATACAAAACCTCCACGCACCACCATGGATCAAACGGTGGGTTGAACTGGAACATGACCTATTTGGCTTCGACTTCCCCTTGCTCTACCTCTGGGTACCAAGAAAATCCATACCCATGCCACCACCAACACCCCAACACTATCAAACTCTATCGCCATATGGGACAAACTCACCAAGAAATTCCCCATCATCAATAACCCAACACCACTAACCCCCATACTGCACAATAAAGCCTTCCTCCCAGGCATGAACCCGAAAGACTTTTCACACTATGAATACAATGACCTCTATAGGTTCTATCACTTCTTTGTTGGTGGGAAGCTACTACATTACAACCAACTACCACAACCACACCGAGCATACAACACTCACAACCTCTTCACGTCTACAACTGAGGAGCTTCCTGGAACTCCCAGAAAACACAACAGCAGCCACCACCAGACTTACAACTTTCGAAAGAACATGAATACACAACCCAACCCACAAAGAACAGATCACTAATAATTACACACTATTAATCACTAACCAACCACCGGGAGCGATGGCATACGTGGTGGCTTGGGAGAGGGACCTGGGACCACCAGACGACCCGACAGACTGGCAGGAGATATGGGAGGCCACGGCATCCATATCCATATGCGTAAATCATAAAGAACAGGCCTGCAAAACTATGCTGAGATGGTACCTAACACCTACATGGCTGTACCACATGGGAAAGACAGACAAAGACCTGTGCTGGAAGCAGTGCGGACACAGGGGAACATATATACACCTTTGGTGGTAATGCCCCAAGCATAGGAACCCATAACTAGAGCACAAAACAAACTCACAAACAGACTGGCCTTAGCAACTAGACGAGCAATAGCAGAACTCTGGGGCACCCCGAATATACCCACACTAGCTGGGGTCATACGCAAAACCAGGGAGGCCATGGAGATGGACAGGCTCTCAGCCAAGATTCACGAAACATCACATCACGTCTATATAATTTGGGACCCATGGCTGAACGAGCCCTCCCTTACATGAGACCCCACAGCACCAATACCCCCCAAACACTAGGCCAAACAGCAGGACCCCGCACCCATACCACGAGGGAGGGAGGACCTCAGCTTTAATGATAGAGGGAGAT